GTCTGTATGTCTGTCTGTACATCTGTACGTATGTTCCGAATAGAAAATTCCATTTCTGAACCGATCCGGACCAAACTTGGCACACATACACATCGGGCCCTGCCGGGTGTCATAGGCTACTTTTCGTCATCGATCGATATCGATTTTATCGATTTTTTGCAAAATTTGAGCTACGGGGTTGGGAGTTGGCACAGGGGAGTAATCGAGCATGCTGATTACAAATATAATAATGACAGGGCCGGGCGGAGCCGGGTAAGTCAACTAGTTATTTTTAAAATGCTTGACTGTTTCTTGAATAATTTCCCGGTAATTTGACATTTGAATAAAGTTTTGAACCAAAAAGATGTTGTGTTCAAACAATGTTAATCAATAGTTACTTTATGATAACGGCACGGTTATTCTCTTTTTTTTTTGAACCTAATTTCACTTTCGTACGATCATTTTGAAGGTTTTTGGCTAAGAGCCAGTTTCAGTGACCTGAAATTCAATTCAGACTTGCAGCATTTTGGCTGGGTTTCAAAACAGACTCTCAGGGGGCAGGGCTTAGATTGTCACCATGTCCTAGGGAGTAATCGGAAGCAGCGAGCATGACTGTATCCTGCAGGCACTCCCCGAATCGAGCTAATTAGGCTCGGGTTCCTAAGTTCCCGCACCCCTGCCAGCGGGGTAAAGGTTGTCCAGGTTTGGTTCACACTTCAAATCTGAGCTTTGAAGCTTTATTGAGCCTCCTCTCAGGCATAAGATGTTTGCATTTGCAATTTACGACCTTTTTGGATCTGAGTATCCAGGATGTAGTGTTAGTCTCTATGTTAAAATTATTGTTGAAATTACTTTGAAACTTCACCAACTTCTGAGCTTTGTACCATCATCACTTCGATTTTGAACAAAATTCACCAGTGATTAAATGTAGTGGTGTTCCGTTTGACTGTTACAAAGATAACCGTTACTCTATTCATTTATTAGGTTTATGACATGATACTACTTTTATTATCATCCTGGTAGCTAAAAACCTGTTTGAAAATCTTTGCTGTCCATTTCCCAAATTCCAAATTCATTGTTCAACTTCTTAATCCATCAAATTTGATCAATATTTGGTAGTCCATCTGGAGGTGGTGCAGGAGGAACCAAAGCCCTTGCCGCTTGTATCAAAGGGGAATAGTGGAAGGCAGAGGAGGTCCGCCCATCGCTCCGCCCACGAAATGCTCCCATTTGTGTTGTGGAACTTTCCTCCTGCACCACTTCCCATACGCATGAGGGGGGCTCGAATGTGGCCAGAAATCTTTTGAATGCTCATGTGAATGAAAGTCGTGCTTGACTTTTTTTCGAAATGGCAGAAACCGTTCGAGCTGGGATCCAGTTGAGCTGGTGCGGCACTTTGCTCACATAATTTTTTATACTTTTCTTACATATATTGTGCCTTCATGGTAAATATTTTACTAGCAAGAAACGTTTTCGTCCTTAGGCTTTTTTATGTCCTCAAAAATCTGATAGCGGCGCAATCTTCTCCGACCTCCGTTGCAAAATGAGTTCGTAGGCAAACCACGTTCGGTATTGATTATTCTTGCTTTCTATTATCAATTTGTTTAGTATTTTTCATCTTATTTTGCTTTCTCTTTTCATGTTTTCTTGATTACTTCCCGTCATCAATCTAAGGGTGAGTGGAGTTGGATGGGGTAAGGAGAGGAGGGCGAGGGGGGGGGGGAGTGGAAAACGAGTAATGGGCGTGAAGGGGAGGGGACAGGTTATGTAACGGGGTTTCAAGCTCCGACCATATAGAGGAATGAGTTTGGCGCTTGATGCATAACACAGTGAGAATTTTCTGACTAAAATACGGCAAAAGAGGAGTTTCGTCCTTGTACCGTGTAATCTGGTGTGAGCGATGGCACAAAAAAATACAAGGGAAAAGTAGTGAGAATCGGGTCGAAAAAGTTCAAAGGGGACTTCTTAAATTTTTCAAAAAATGAAGGCTTCGTTTCAAAATCTCACTGGTTTCCAGCTGATGGCGATCTAATATATAAAGGATCGTTAGCTCAATTCAAAAATTTTCCAACAGCGGGAAACCGCGACGGGTATCGAAGTGGACGTTCCCAGATCTTGCACCATTAGATTACTGGTTCACTAGTCTCTGAATACATAGAAGTAACCTAGAAGATTACTGGTTCACTAGTCTCTAAATAGAAGTAACACTAGAAGAAAGGTATCAACTTTCTATGAACAAACAAGATTTTTGATATACAAACTCAAACAAACGAAAGTGGCAGATTCATTCTGTAATTATCATTCGCTAATCCTAAGTGTGCAGATGTGTCACTCATGTTGCTGTTGTATATCTCAACCTTTTTCACATCCCCATTGATTTTGGTGATCATCTATTATCGTCACATTTGTGTCAGGCTATCTTACAAATGAGACCTCCGAGGTCATTTTCATTTTAGTGTCTTGATCAAGTCTTGTGTGCTCTGCAAGAAGATAAACAAAGATAAACATCGACCTTTTCTCTTTGGAAGCTGAATATCTTACTCTGCGGTATGCTGTTCTCCAAAGACATTTTTGCAATACTTTAGAATCAAATCGGTCTAAGCATTTTTCATGTGTATTCTGCAAAAGTTTTGAGCAGTGGTCTCAGAGCTTCTGCCTTTTCTAGACATATTGATAAAAGTAATGAAAATTGGCGTTGATTGGATCAACAATCTTTTTTGGTTATGGTTATCTACAGTTTGCTAGTCTCAAATTCTCTCTTCAATCGCTCATAACTCTTGTTCTCTCTTGTTTGAACAGTTTTTGCAATTTTTCAGGTAGCATGAATTGGAGCTGAGTTTAGCTTAAGTTTGCAGTACAAAACGAATTACCCACCGCTCTACGTTACTGCAAAATTATAGGGACTTTCACCACAATGCCGTCATTCTGAATCAGCTACCTTTCAGATGAATTCCAAAACGTCTGTAAACATTTTTTTCTTGGGGGGGGGGGGGAGAGGGAAGTTGAGTCGCCGATTCCACTCAATTTTTTGGATGTTTGTAGAGAAGTTCACATAATATATAAAATTTTTCTTTCAGTCTGGGACAATCCGCTGCCACGATTTACCTGTTGCAACTTTCGAGCTTGAAACTGTGGTGGACGAAAAGTTCACACTTAGAGCTACAATAATAATTGACATGCTCAGGGATTCGCGCCGTGCGGGCGGTCCTCATTAAAGCTCCTCCGCCTGAGCGCACTGCATAGTTTTTGATGTACCGTGCGTGCGGTCAACAATAAAAATGCCGTGCAAGCGGAAGACAGTCTACCCGTTCGATCGGCACGCAATTCAATCGACCGTGCAAGCGGCAGGCAATGCGTCCGCACGATCGGCCAGCAATCACTTGATCGTACAAGCGGCAGGCAATCTCGCCGCGCAATCGGTACGCAATAAAATCGACCGTGCAAGCGGCAGGCAATGTGTCCGTTCGATCGGGCGGCAAACATTTGCCCGTGCAAGCGGCCAACAGTGACCTCTACCTTCGGCTCATTGTTTTCACACACTGTGAGCGTAAACGGTACCTGTATGAGATACGACGCAGCGTTTAGGCTGGCTAAGCGTCGACTATCGTGTTATCAACATTTCCCTTCACCGCAAAGCTGGAATGAACCTGCGTGAGGCTACAGTTATCAAGAGTGGTGTGGGCTTCTCCATGGAAAGTTTGGGTAGTGCGGCAGGCATTAGTCCGTGTTCGCAGGATGTGAAAATGCTTAACATACCTAAGAAAAATGGTTAAAATACCCCATATAAACCTACTCCAGCAGCAAGCAGCGGCCGACCTTCCCCGCGCAAGCGGCGAACATTAGAAACCGTGCGGGCGCCCCACGTTAACCGTGCTAACGGCCCTTGACGACCGTACAATCGCACACACCAACGAGCGATTGTAAGTTCGTCGCTGGCCGCCCGCACGGTGCGAGTCCCTGAGTGGCTAAACTCACAGCTCTTTCTGATTCTATTTGGGGGACGGGGGGGGGGGGGGGAGGAAGGAGAGTACATGTTTTGACGCTTTTCTTGGCTATTCACAAACCCCTCTTGAATGTTAACAGTAATCTTACAGTAATGAAAGGGAGCGGTGATCCGTTTACTAGCAAGTTTTACTAGGCAAGCCTACAACTTGGTACCTGAAGAAGCTGCTCAAACAAGAAGATTACTGGTGAACAAACGTTTGAGAAGTTTTGGGCATCCTGTACACAGAACTCAATGGCTGTTGATATTTATACAAGCTCGGATTGATTCCAATTCAGATCGATTCGGATTAAACTTGGACACTTTCATTTCGACGGAACGAGTGTCATAGGCAAGCGTCATACTACTTCATCCACTTCGCTATTGGTTTGTCTACTTCATTCCCCTTGTATTGGTCGGTTTACCGATTTGACCAGTAGGGAAATTGTTGAGTGGATGAATGTCAAGTGTGACGCCAATTTTTGCCATCAAAATTATCTATCTGATCATGTTTTTTACAGTGGGAGCTGATTTGGTACAAGGGCTTCCAGCATGACATTTGCAACAGAAATTTGTCGATTTTTATTTTGCTTTTGAGGCCTAGCGGAGGTTGGTATAGGGGAGAGGGAAATGAACATGCCGAGGTACCATCCGTTTATTGGTTGGCTTACTGCACTTGTCATAACATTGGAGGTTCTGCTTGTTCTGCTTTTGCATTCTTTCCCGTTTTGTGTCACTATCGCTGGTTTGTGCCGATTCTCTCACTCGCTCTCTCAATGGCAGTGTCGCCCGCCTGTTCGTGCCGCTTGTCCCGTGCATCGCTTCGCTTGCGCCTGTGCCGCGTCCATACGACGTACATATTCTATGGGCGTTTTTCCCACACATGAACCGCGATCGAAGATGGGCGAGTGTCGCCCAAAGGATGCGTCACAGACGCAGCGCAGGGTTCAAGCGAGGCGTCCTCGCGATAACCGAGTCACATGAGGGAGTGACTTCCCTCATAAAACAGAGGATTTTCTAGCTTTAATCAGTAATTCAGGTGAAGACTATCACTAAAGTGCCGTGGCAATGACCGAGGATATCTATACTTGTCGAGTGCAGTATATAGACGATAGCGATCCGTTCGCATCGACGTCGAATGCCTTCTTAGAACCTATGCGCCCAGTCACATTCAATTTTCGAATACATGTTACGATCGGCGATCAACTACCCGAAATCGTACGAACTCTTCGTGCTCCTCACAAGGTGAGTGACTATATACAGTCTGTCCCAATCGTGATCACGCCGATCAAAAGGCCTATATCGCAATGGCGCTGTATGCTGTAACTTCCCACCGTAGTTGTAATGAAAAGCGATAAGTAAATAAGTAAGTATAAGTAACGCACCATACTGTAAATCTAAAATGAAGCCTGGAATGATATCCACGAAAGTCCCCGCGAAATGGGCTTTTTGTGCGAATAAAATGGACTTAGTCCATGCGGTGCGATAAGATATCGCATTCGCGAACACATTCATTCCATACAAAAATGCTTCAACTAACCTTTCTCCAACTTGTCTCAACCTGTTTGCTCACTCTTGCAAACTCATTTCCACCAAGTGGTCGATATCTAACTAGGCTGACCTAACATTACAATGTCACTCAAGTGGCCATTCTATTCTTTCCCACATCGTTACACCTGACAGAATGCCATTCGTTATCGATGACTATGCATCTAAATCACTTCCAAGACTAAAATTCATGTCATATCCGGGCCTTCGCTTCAAAACTTCTACGAATCAGCATTAAATCGAATTCTATGTGGAGATTTCTGCAAAAAGCAAACCTTGGCTGGAGTTGCACTGCAATCAGTGAACCAAACTGCTCCTTACAAGAAACCTTGTACTACACTACAACTCAGAGGGTTTTTCAAGTCGCAAAAACTTTGAATCCCAAAAGATGACTTCGCAAGCGGTCTATATTAGCTTTTCTTTGTCTTTCAGCGAGTTGAATATATGGACTAATCTAGTAAGAAATTCTTCACGGAATTTCTCTAGCTAGCTAGCGGCACTTCAGTAATTCTTGCGAACCAAACTCAAAATTGCGTTTAAAATGCCGTCTCTGAGGTTCGGTTCTACGAAATTAGTCAAAGATAGCTTTTAATTAATCACATTGAAGCACAATTTTTTTCAAATTTTAGATTACAAATCATGAATTTGGTTTTGGTTGATGATTTGAAGAGTTAACAAACTTTATTTGTTTTACATAAGAATTTTCTGATTGACCTGAAATTAAGAAGCATTTGGATTTATTAGCGAATATCTGAGTGAATTTGATCTTACTATGTTTTTATAGCGTTTCTATGAGTTTAGAAAGAAACACTTATTTCAGACTTCATAAAAGACATGAAACTTTTTCCACTCACCTATTACCTTAGGTTAGGATGAGGAACACATTCCCAAAAAATCGCAATCAAAAATATGCACAAAGGTCAAAAATGGGCTTAGTCCCAGCTCACCTTGCTGCTGGGAGTAAAATGGGCTTTCAAGTCCATTTAAAATGGAGGTAAATCCCATTTTGCCCCATTCTAAATGGACTTTTGACGTCATCATTTCGCAAGCGAGAGCTCAGGTAGGGTTAAATCATTTTCATTTCACCGCTTTGCCTCGTGGTTGCGATGGGATGAAAATTTTTGGAAAACGCGAGCGAAAGCAGATTCCGACCACTCTCCACCGCGAACGAATAAAATGGGGCTTGAAAGTCCATTTTCCTCCATTATGGACTTTCGTGGATATCATTCCTGTTCTATTGAATGGCGCTTGAAGCTGAGCAAAAGACTTCGTGGGAATAAAGTCATTAACGGTCAAAAAGCGTGTACTTACTTTTGGGACACCCTGTACATGTACTTGATATTGAAACTCTTGAACTTCGAATCATTTTCGGCAGATTTGCAACTGGCGTAATCAAAATTTTCAAATTTTCGAACTGCCTTCGTAATAGCCTTGATGCCTTGGAAGTTCATATAAAAAATAAAAAGTGGAAGATTAATGAGAGGATTTTTGAAAGATAAAGAAGAAATTGGAGCGACGTTGCACAGTTGCAATAAATTGGATCTCGATCAGATTTTATGACATCAATTTTTCATTTTGGTTAAAGTTACAAGACTAAATAAACTGTCACATATGGAATTTCTGAGATTTATTCTATTTAGCCCAATGACTCGGCTCTGCAACTATACAAGAGTCTCGAGAAAGGTGGCGGGGAGTTCTCAAGCTATTTGGATAGCGACTTGACCTTGGCCGATCAAAGTGATGAGTTTGAAGAGATGAAAAGCGATAGGTGAACAATTTAATCTTTCAATTTTTGCATGGTTGGCTAGTCTTCCTTTGAGTGCAGAAGCTTTATTTGATTTTTTCTTGGAGATGACTTCTTACAAGTTTTTTTGTAAGCTGACTTTTTTACACTGCAATTGGTTCCCGATGTTCTAATAATGATCTTACATGCAGTTCAAATCACATATCTCTTTCCTATGAGATATAGTACTCTTGAATTCTTTATCCTTTATTTGATTTCACATCCAGTATTGTTTTACTTTATTATTATTACCAGTGCGTCACCTCTGCTTCGTAGAGGCTCGCACTGGCCCTATTTTCTGTATGCCTTACTCATTCCCGCATAATAATGACATTGAAACTCACCGCGCTATGTAGGCTATCACGAATAATTCGTAACCAACTACTCATTCGTAGAGGTCTTCCATGTGAGGTCGGTATTTTCGCGTGGATAAAATCTTTTCCAAAAGAACAGATGCAAATTTGAATAGGCTTTTGGAATTTTTATGGCTTGGTAGTCGCCGTAAGGACAACAGACATAGTGGGCTACACTTCTGTGCAAAAATCTTCTCAAATAATCAGGTAAAATCTTGAAAAATTGACCGTTTACACAGCGAATGCTTTTTGGCGCTGTTCTCGTAAAGTAGTAGACTTCCCATTACTTTTTTAGGCTAACGTCCATGGCTTGCACATTAGCTTGTCAAATATATCCTTAACTCTGCAAAAAGTAGTACTACGGACCCAAATTTGCTGGCCAGAAGCCAAGTGGATCCATTTGACGCGCAATTTTCAATGGATCCCGTCAACGGATCCGCTCATGCTTTTGTATAGTGAGCTTTCATGCTGGTAGCGTGCGCTGTGCAAAATTTGGGCTCAGGACGTTGGCTGGAACACGCTCTACGAATTTCGTGACAGACAGAGATTCACACACACACACACACACACACACACACACACACACACACACACACACACACACACACACACACACACACACACACACACACACACACACACACACACACACACACACACACACACACACACACACACACACACACACACACACACACACACACACACACACACACACACACACACACACACACACACACACACACACACACACACACACACACACACACACACACACACACACACACACACACACACACACACACACACACACACACACACACACACACACACACACACACACACACACACACACACACACACACACACACACACACACACACACACACACACACACACACACACACACACACACACACACACACACACACACACACACACACACACACACACACACACACACACACACACACACACACACACACACACACACACACACACACACACACACACACACACACACACACACACACACACACACACACACACACACACACACACACACACACACACACACACACACACACACACACACACACACACACACACACACACACACACACACACACACACACACACACACACACACACACACACACACACACACACACACACACACACACACACACACACACACACACACACACACGCAAACGTAAACAACCCTTAGCCCGTTATTATAAGTTATGATTAATGTCATTTTATTTTGGCTGAATAACTTATGGAGAGGTGGGAATTGGGAATTTCGTTGCAACTGAACGCTTGCTAAATTTATCATGTCCTATTCTGAATTGGTGAAGTGACCGTGAAGTGCGAAATTCTTGGTTGATCTGTTGCTTTTGCGCATTGACTAAGTCCCTCTTTTCATTTGTCTCACAGCTAATTTTGAGCAAATGATTATTGAAAACTAGCGACATATCTGTATTTCTGAAGGCGCTCATATGATGGGTCGGAAATTTACGTACCTTTTCACAACTATTTCCACAATCCTACCTTTCTAATTAAAAGTTCGTGAGTTGTCAGCAACTAGTTAGCCCTCAATTACACAGCTGATATCTGCGTGCAGTAGGCCCTCCCTCACCCAGCAAGGCATGAAACCGGAATTTTACTGTAGTTTCGAACTCATATTCAGGTGATATCTTCCGAATGGGATGAAACTGATATTCAAAAGTTTTGTTTGTCACGCTATTTCGAGTAGATCAAATGATTAAGTGATTTTTTGATACCTTGAAGTGGTCTTGTTTGAAACCGTCAATTTTTTTCTGAAGCACAAAGCTTTCCATAAAAATTAGGTGATAATTAGTGAAAATGTTTAATTGCTATCCAGGAGATGTTCTCTGTATTGATAGTTTTTCTCGAAACCCTGAATTTTCTTTTGACGTATTATAAAATATATAACTAAATTAATCAAACCTCTAAAGTTCAAAAAGGTGGAAAACGATGTAAGCCAAATTCAATTTAACTGATTCTCCAAAAATCTAGAAGTTTTTCTATCGTCGAAATCTATATCGAGTTTGGAGATTTTGCGGTATAATTTCTTCTTTCATTCGAGGCAACACTCACGAATGCGTAACATTTTATGTGTTCATGATTTCGCCAAACTCGCACCGAGGCGCTCGTCCACAATTTCTGAAAAATAGCCTCGTTAAGAAGATTTTCGACGGATTCAAGCCTTTTAGGGGGGGGGGGAAGTTCTCACCCGAGCCATATTCTCGCATTTAAGTGATGTGCCTGCCAGGTACATTCGTACTAGCTATAATTACTAGCTCCTCGGGATCCAAGACACTGCAAGTCCCGCCCCTTTATCGAGTGCCGCTTCAGAAGCTGGAACCGGGATTTGAAAGAGTTTCAAAATCGAAGGGGTTTCCGAGGTTGCTCTTTTCAGAAGCGAGATTTGTTTGTCTAAGTCAATGTTCAAACCGATAATGCCCAACCAGATCAAAATTCGGATTTAGCCGAAATTTCTTTAATCTAATATCAAAACTCAGGTTTGCGGATTTTTGAAAAATTATGAAACTATTAAAAAATATTCGTAGCATTAATTTGAGATTTGGTTGTTTTCAAATAATGAGATGTTTTCTTCTATTGTTTGACATCATTCCGAGCTTTCTAGGTCTGCTATGAAGTTTTCTGACATTGGGACAGCCTTGATGACTAGTGTCCTGGGATATTTCGAGAAATACCTGATTGGGTCATTATCAGTGCTATACCTTGACAAATTCTTGAAACTGATTTAGGAGAAAAACTAAGACGGAAGCACATACATATCTCTGCATTCAGCATTTCATTTCTAGGAAAAGAATTCGGTTTTTGTGAGACACACATTTTGTGTCTTTAAAAAAATGTTCGAAAAATCAAATCGCTATTGATATTGCACAAAACATGCATCGTTATCGAAAAAGCAATAAAGCGTAAACATCAGGTCTTGTTCTGAGAAAGAAAACTTACATCCAAATCGAATTTTGATCTCGGTTGACATTATCGGTGCTGAACTTCGATTTTGCAACAAATGAAATTCACTACTGAAAAGAGCGATCTCGAAAATCCTTGAATCCGAAATTTGTTCTTGATTGCAGTAATTTCTTCGCTTTCTCCCAATTCTTCTCTCTTCGCTTCTCAACTTCTATCTTGAAACTTTCTTTGAAATTCCCGTTTCAGCATCTGGAGCGACACTCGATAAAGGGACGGGGCTTGCAGTGTCTTGGATCCCGTGGAGCTCGTAATTATAGCTAGTCCAAATATGCCTGGCAAGCACATTACTTAGGTGCGATAATGTGGCTCGGTTGAGAAACTCCCCGCACGCCACGCATATATTGCGCATATTCTTCTATATTTGAAACCAGTACCATGGAAAGGTCTATGTATTAGGTTGTAATTAATGCAGGTTTTTCACACCCTTTTTCGAAATGTTGGTTCAAAGCAAAATTGCATTATCTTAGGAAACTATACATACCATCCGAAAGCACTCTTCTTCTAGTTTTTTGTTTTTTTTTGTTTCGTTTCAGTAGGACCGGGATCATTTTGAAATTACGTGCTTTTGAAAGAGGCTGGACCTTGAATTATTCCCTTTTACACTCTTTACTCTAGATCCACCGCGAAAGATCGGAATTTTTTGCAGACTAGCGTAATGTTTGTACGTAATCTGTGCTACAAAATGCACATTGAAGCAAATTTCTCAAAAGTTTCAGACTGGGAAATTTTTTTTTCAAACCCAAACAACCGCTGCTATCATTCTGCGAAGCATAAAAATTCTAAATGCGACAGTTGCGGAGCTTTCACCGTGCGCAGAAAGAATAGATATAGGGGACATGATAGCAAAAAACGAGAGCTGTTATTTTCTTCGGCAAAGAGAAAATTCAGAAAACAACAAAAAAGCACCTCTTCGTCTTTTCAGAGCACTTGTGAAGAATAAGTGATTACAAATTTTTTGCAATAATTTCTAGCAAAATTTTCTTCCTGTAAAGTAACTTTAACGTTGCTGCACTACCGACTTTTATCTGCACAGTGAATGAAGTTTGCAATATTTTACTACATTGTACAGTGAGTTATGAGTTATGTTCCCTCAAACTGAAGGTTTTGAGAGAATTTTTGGCAGTCTTCGGGCTATGGAATTTTTTCAGCGAAGCTACAACGATATGGTATATGTATTGATTGCCAAAGGTTTGCTGATTGCAGTAATTTTTATTGGAAACGGATTGACTATTTCTGTTGAAAGTTATAATAGTCCATCAAAATTTGGAAAACCTGCATTAATTCTATTACAGCCTAATATGATCTGTTCCAAGATTCGTGTAGAGGCGGATGCGGACTTTCCCTGATTATAAGGATAAACTGCTTGAACTTCAAATTTGGAAACCTGCATTAATTCTGTTACTGGCTAATACGATCGGTTCCGATTCGTGTAGAGGCGGAATGCGGGTTTTCCATGATTATAAGGATAAACTTCTTAAACATCCACGTGGTAGCAATGTTCATCATCGTACTCTCTCGCAATGAAAACCGCCACGCTTTGAGTCGCCACGACTTTGTCTCTATACGAATCGTGGAGCCGATGATAAAGCAAAAAATGGA